GGGATAATAACAGCATCTCCCAAGGTGGTTGTGAGGATTGAGTGAGATGTTATTTGTAAAGCACTTAACCCAGTACCTGCTGCTGTGTAAATATTAGCTGTTATTAGCTGTTGTTAATAGAGAGTTGGTCTTGAAGTCAGAAACACACGTATTAAAGTTGGGATGGCAGGGCCCTCCAAGTGCAGCCTCTGAATACTCTGAGCTGTGTGACCCTGGGTAAGTCATTTAGCATCTCGCTGCTATCAATTTGACTTCTTTTCTGCTCTTTATTTTATTGATGTAAGTTTTTTAAATTAATTTTTATTTAGTATTTTACTTTTCCCTAGTAAAAACAATTTTAACATTGTTTTTAAAACTTTGTGTTCCAAATGTTTAATATGAATATATATGTATAGCCAATATCAGATTGACTTCCTTCCTCTCTCTCCCCACCTCCCCACCATTGAGAAGACAAGCAATTCGATATAGGTTATACGTGTAGCCGTGCAAAACATTTCCATTTCTTTCACATTGTGAAAGAAAACACAGACAAAAAAAAATCAAGAAAAATAAAGGAAAAAAGTATGCTTCAGTCTGTATTCAGACACCATCAGTTTCCTCTCTGGGGATGGAGAGCATTCAACACGAGTCCTTCAGAGTTGTTTTGGATCACTGCATTGCTGAGAATAGCCAAATCATTCATGGCTGATGATTTGACAGTATCGCTGTTACTTTGTACCCAGTGCATTTCACTTTGCATCAGCCTATGCGAGTCTTCTCAGGTTTTTCTGAGAGCATCCTGCTCGTCATTTCTTATAGTACAAGAGTATTCTGTCATAATCACACACCACAACTTGTTCAGCCATTCCCCAATTGATGGGCATCCCTGCGATTTCCGATTCTTTACCCCCAGAAAAGAGCTGCTATAAATGTTTTTGTACATATAGGCCCTTTTCCTTTTTGTTTTTTTATCTGTTTTGGGATATAGACCTAGTAGTGGTGTTGCTAGGTCAAAGGGTATGCTTGATTTTGTAGACCTTTGGATACAGTTCCAAATTGCTCTACAGAATGGTTGAATCAGTTCAGAACTCCACCAACAGTGCATTAATGTCTCATTTTTCCTACCTCCCCCCCAACATTTATTACTCACCTTTTCTGTCCTATTAGACAATCTAATAGGTATGAGGTAGTACCTCAGAATTGTTTGAATTTGCATTTCTCTAATCAATAGTGAGTTGGAGTATTTTTTCATATGACTATAGATAGTTTCGATGACTTCATCTGAAAACTGATCATATCTTTTGATCACTTATCAGTTGGGGAACATTCTTACTTTCATAAATTTGACTCAGTTCTCTATGTTTGAGAAATGAGGCCTTTATCAGAGAAACTTGCTTCAGAATTTTTTTCACAGTCAAATCTTCTGTTATCCTGACTGTGGCTCCATGATACTTTCTTTGTTTCTGGCTGCTTGCAATATTTTCTCCTTGACCTGGGAACGCTGGAATTTGGCTATAATACTCCCAGCAGTTTTCATTATGGGATCTCTTTTAAGAGATGATTGGTGAATTCTTTCAATTTCTATTTTACCCCTGGTTCTAGAATATCAGGGCAGTTTCCCTTGATAATTTATTTTATTTTATTTATTTGTTTGTTTTTAGTTTTCAGCATTCCCTTCTATAAGATTTTGAGTTCTAAATTTTCTCTCCCTCCTTCTGCTTCCACCTTCCCAAGATGGCATGCAATCTGATATTGGATATATATATATATATGTATGTATGTATGTATGTATGTATATATATGTGTGTATATATATATATATACATTCATATTAAACATTTCCATATTAGTCATGTTGTACAGAAGAATTAGAACCAAAGGGAAAACCCATTAGAAAGGGAAAAAAAGAGGGAGAGAGAGAGAAAATAGTATACTTCAATCTGCACTCAGACTCCATAGTTCTTTCTCTGGACATAGATAACATTTTCCATCTTGATTCTTTTGGAATTGTTTTAGATTCTTGCATTGCTGAGAAAAGCCAAGTCTATCAAAGTCAGTCATCATACAATGTGACTACTACTGTGTACAGTGTTCTCCTGGTTCTGCTCACTTCACTCAGCACCAATTCATATAAGTCTTTGCAGGTTTTTCTGAAATCCACCTGCTCATCATTTCTTACGGAACAATGGTATTCCATTACATTCATATACCACAGCTTGTTCAGCCATTCCCCAATTGATGGGCATCCCCTCAATTTCTAATTCTTGGCCACCACAAAAAGAGCTGCTAGAAATATTTTTGTAAATGTGGGTCCTTTTCTCATTTTTATGATCTCTTTGGGATACAGACCTAGAAGTGGTATTGCTGGATCAAAGGGTATGTAGTTTGATAGCCCTTTGGGCATAGTTCGAAATTACTCTCCAGAATGGTTGATCAGTTCACAACTCCACCAACAATGCATTAGTGTTCCAATGTTCCTATATCTTCTCCAACATTTATCATTTTCCTGTTTTGTCATGTTAGGCAATCTGATAAGTGTGATGTGGTACCTCAGAGTTGTTTTGATTTTTATTTCTCTAATCAATAATGATTTGGAGCATTTTTTCACATTTTTCACAGTTATCCACATAAAGATAACTTTAATTTGTTCATCTGAAAACTGCCTGTTCTTATCTTTTGACCATTTATCCTTGATAATTTCTTGAAAGATGATGTCTAGGATCTTTTTTCGATCATGACCTTCAGATAGTCCGATAATTTTTAAATAATCTTTCCTGGATCTATTTTCCAGGTTAGTTGTTTTTCCAGTGAGATATTTCACTTTGTCTTCTATTTCTTCATTCTTTTGGTTTTGTTGTATTGTTTCTTGATTTCTCATAAAGCCATTAGCTTCCAATTGCTCCATTCTAATTTTTAAGGAATTATTTTCCTCAGTGAGCTTTTGGACTTTCTTTTGCATTTGGCCAATTTTGCCTTTTAAGGCATTCTTCTTCTCATCGACTTTTTGGAGCTCTTTTGCCATTCGGCCTAGTCTGCTTTTTAAGGTGTTATTTTCTTGTGTCTCCTTTACCAAGTTGTTGGTTTATCATAATTTTCTTACATCATTTCTCTTCCCAATTTTTCTCTACTTCTCTTACTTGATTTTCAAAATCCTTTTTGAGTTCTCCCATGGCCTGAGACCAATTCATATTTTTCTTGGAAGCTTTGGATGTAGGAGCTTTGATCTTGTCTTCTTCTGAGTATGTGTTTTGATCATCTTTGTCACTATAGTAACTTTCTATAGTCAGAGTTTTTCCTGTTGTTTGCTCAGTTTTCCTAGTCTATTACTTGACTTTCAACTCTTTGTTAAAGTAGGGCTCTGCTTCCAGGGTGGAGGGTGCACGGTTCAAAGTTTCAGGAGTTTTATGTAGCTGTTTTCCGAGAGGTCTAGGAACCTAAGTCCCTACTTGGTACTGAGGTCACCCTATGTCAGACCCTAGAGTTACTGCTACAGAAGGGAATCAGCAGCCCCTCTCCCCGTGGAGCAGGCATGACTGGCGCTGTTAGGGAGAAGGCAGGAAAGGCATCATGGAGAAGGTGTTGCTTGGGCTGACTTGTGTAAAAAACAGGTATTCCAAGAGGAAGCAATAAGGGGAGAGAGGAGCCCACCCATGGAGGTAGTTGATGCAAAGGCGTGGAGGGGGAGATGCCTCTCTTGTGAGGGGCAATTAGAAGATCAGTTTGACAGCAGGGTATGAAGGGAAGTAAATGGCCAGAGCCTGTGGCAAAGGGCTTTAAATGCTCAACAGAAGCGGATTTAATCCTGGACATAATAGGGAGCCACTGAGATTACGAAGAGAGGGGAAGGACCTGGGCAGATCTGAGCTTGAGGATAATCCCTGACAACCAGATTGGAGTGAGGAGAGATGATTAGGAGGCTTTGGCCCCCAGTGTCCAGGGGGTGTTGGCGGCCTGACAGGGATATTGTGCCCCCCCCCCCAAAAAAAACCTAACGGCCAAAATTGTCCCGAGGGGGGATAAATGGCAGCTTTGTAAGGTAGTGAGATGCCCCTCCCTGGAGGTCTGCAAGCAGAGGCTGCAGCCAGGATACTGTAGCAGGCATTCAGGCATTCAGCTGCACCCAGCCTCCTCTGTGATTCTGGGAACCAAGTGACCACTAGCGGCTTGGTCGACTAAATGTCCTGCCGTCTTCCCCGCCCCCCACCAGAGCCCACGGCCCCACGGGGCACGGCAGCCTCCGGTGCCCATGGCCCCATCACCGCCTCCTTGGAGGACCTGGAGCTCTGGACCCAATTCTACCAGGCCGGCACAGAGATGGTCATCACCAAATCTGGCAGGTGAGGCTGGCTTACTGGCCCCAATGCCGCAGGCAGGTGGAGGATGATGCCATAAAGATCCAAAAGAGCCCTGCGCCCCGAGCTTCAGACAGCCTGGCATCCCAGCAGCGGGCAGGGGCCCCACATAGCCATCTCCATTCCTGTGTCCAATCCCTCCTCTCTGCTCCCACGGGGTCAAGGGTAGGCCCAGGGTCAGGGCTGAGGGCTTGGGGATCATTGTAGCCAGGCTCTGGCCTCTGCCTGAGGCTGGGGTAAGGGATATGGCCTCCCAGGAGTGGTGGCCCTAGAGAGAACTCAAAACTGAGATTCATGAAGACATAACCAGCGGTGGGGAGAGGGTCCTAGGGTGTGGAGCAGATGGAGAAGAGGTGAGAAAAGAGGGTCTGGGCTCCCGCCCCAGCTCTGCCACTCACTGGCAAGTGTGACCCTGGCCTGTGCCTCAGTTTCCTCCTCTGTAAAATGAGGGTCCAAGGATGATGACCCCCAAGGAAGACATCGCATAACTCAGTCTGTGCTATTGGGACTCCCTCCCTCATCCCGGCCGCTTCTTCAGTGGCCCCAGAGATCCCCGTCCTTCCCTGGGCCGGCCTTCTCTTCAGGCTTTCTTGGAGGGAAGCTGCCCCACGATTCCCTTGGAGCCTCCGCCTCCAGCGGGTGATGTCCATCTCTGTCCTTTGTAGGCGGATGTTCCCTCAGTGCAAAATCAGACTCTCCGGCTTGGTCCCCTATTTGAAGTATGTGGTCCTGGCGGATTTTGTGCCAATGGACAACTTCAGGTATAAGGTACCTGTTCTTCCCTGGGGCCTGTCACCCCCTACAGGGTTCTGCAGGAGGGGTGAGCTGGAACCCGGCACACGAGAACCCTGGGAAGGGACCAGAGCTGGGCTTAGGAGACCCAGATCCACATTCTCCCTGAGCTCGTCCCACCCTATCGGGTGCGGGACGTTGGGCAAGCACCTTCTCTGCTCTGGTCTGTTTCCTCTTCTGGGGATGGGGTTCGATGACTCTTTGAGATTTGCTCTAGCTTTTCCCTGCTCCCCACCTGCAAAGGGCAGTGATCCTTCCTGCCTGCTCTCAGCGCGGCCCTTCTGTGTCCTGCAGTGGGCCAAAGACCAGTGGGAGGTGGCGGGCAAGGCCGAGCCGCAGCTCCCTGGCCGCTCCTACATCCACCCGGACTCACCGGCCTACGGCAGCCACTGGATGAAGGAGCCCGTTTCCTTCCACAAAATGAAACTGACCAACAACACCTTGGACCAGCACGGCCATGTAAGCAGAGCCTTCCTCCTCATTCCCCACCTTCCCCATACGTCTCTGTTCCCAGAATTCCCAGAATGGACAAACCAGAAGGAGCCTCTGGTCACCATCTGGCCCCAACCTCTCTCTCTGACCAAGAGTCCCCTCCAAAGCAGTCCCTGAGGAGTAGCCGTCTACCATCTGCTCAAAGCCCTGCAGTGACAAGGAGCTCACTACCTACCGAGGCATCTCAACTGTGCCTGGAGTTCCTTCTTCCCATAGAAGGGAGGGAATGACACGTCCCCACCCAGAGGCTCTCAGAACTTAGGGCTGGAGGAGTGGGCAGCCCACAGTGGGTCCTCTGTCTCCCCAGATCATCCTCCATTCCATGCACCGCTACCAGCCCCGCTTCCTCGTGGTCCAAGCCGACGACCTCTTCAACGTCTGCTGGAATAGCTTCCAAGTCTTCAGCTTCCCCCAGACGGTCTTCATCTCCGTCACGGCCTACCAGAACCAGCAGGTAGCCAGCCTTCCCCGCGGGCCCCCCACGAGGCTCTGCCAGCATGGGCTGATGAAAAGGGCCCTAACCTGCGGTTCTGGAGCACCCGGGAGGGGAGGGGCAGAGCTGAGGATGACGCCCAGGGTCTGGGGCCTGGGGAAGAGGAGGTGGACCATGGGATAGAGCAGATCAGAGAGCACAGGTAGCTTCAATCCAGGGGATAGGAAACCTTTATTAAGGGTCTACAGGAGCCAGAGGCTTCTAGGTGGTGCTGCAGTGGAGAGAGCGCCAGGCCTGGAGTCAGTTCAAATCCAGCCTCAGACCCTTACTAGCTGTGTGATCCTGGGCTAGTCACTTCACCCTGTTTGCCTCAGTTTCCTCATGTGTAAAATAAGCTGGAGAAGGAAATTGCCAACCACTCCAGTACTTCTGCCAAGAAAACCCCAAATGGGCTCATGAGGAGTCAGATATGAGTGAAATGACAACATCTCATGTCTAATCCAGATCTGACCAGGAATTCCCCTACCCCATATGCGCCCAGTGAGTACTGATTCAGCCCCTGCTTAGAGACCTCCAGGGAGAGAGAAGCGGGGAGCCCGAGGCAGCCCACTCCACTCGGGGTCGCTCTGGGGCCAAGCAAAACGAGATGGCCAGCATTAGAAGGCAGCCGTCCTGCCCTGTTCCCCCGTCTTCTCCAGGCTGGCGGTGGACCCTCCTATGTCCTCCATGTCCAGCTTGGGGAGCCCTCAGGTGCCCAGTCCCCTGCTTCTCTCCCCTCTCCGGTCCATAGTTCCCTCGGCTGCATGGGGCTGTCCGTGTCTGACCCCTGCCTTTGCCAGAAGACACACCCTCCTGGCATTGTAAGTCTTCCTGCCCCATGCACTGTTCTGGCTCAGCCTCTGCATACGCACTCTGGTCAAACCAGCCCATTCACTGCCTTGTACAAGTGACGTTCTGGCCTCAGGGACCTTGTCTGGGCTGGTCCAGAAGCCTCAGGGTTCTTGGCCCATAGGGAGCTGGCTCCCCGTCTAGTTCGGGTCTAGACGTAGAACACTTCAGGGCGTCGGTGCTGCGCAGAGGGCCCCTAGTCGGAGTTGGTCAGGGTGAGCTTACAGCCTTGAGCATCATGACAAAATTGACTTTGTTCCTTTGTGAAGATCACCAAACTTAAAATTGACAACAACCCCTTTGCGAAAGGATTCCGGGAACAAGGGAAGAAGCCTAGAAGGTAACTGGGACCCCCTGGCGGGGAGGAGGGGCTTGGAGGAGAGCCCTGCCCAGCCTTTGGGAAAGCCCCCAGTGCCGGCCCCCATCTCTGCCCACACCGAAGGGGCAGGGAACCATCCCCCTCTCTGCTCCTCGTCCCTGCCTCCTATTGAAGGAGAATGACTGAGGAGACCCCATCCCTCGCACAGGGCCCACAGACTCAGCCCGGCCCAGGGGCGGAAGAGGAAAAGGCTTGAGGAACTCGCTTCTAACCCCGAGGCCAAGAAATCTGGTAAGAGGAGGAAGGAAGCGATCTGGGAGGAGGGGGAGGACAGGAGAGCAAAGTCTGTCCTGTCCTGTCCTGTCCCAGGAAAGGGAGGCTTCAGGAGACCTGGGGCAGGTTCATTTGGGCAGGAAGTGGGGAATGGAAGTACGGAAACTGAGGCACCAAGGAACTTTGCATGGGGGACCTGTCTCGCGGGCTCTGGCCCCGCTGCCTGAGGGCAGTCCTGGGTCAGTGGGCACTGAGCTGGGCTCCCTTCCTCTTCCCTGTCCCTCTGGGTAGGTCTGACCAAGGATGACACTGTGGAGGTCCAGGGCAGTGCCAGCCCTGGGCCGGTCAGCCGCAGGTACTCCCCCTTCTGGGAGCCCCTAGGGCTCTCCAGGGCCTCAGCGCCAGCAGACCAGAGGGAAGAGACGGCAAGAGAAGCAGCAGGGCCCAGCCCTGGGGTGGGTACACCTTACCCTGCCTACAGGTGAGCTCCACTCCCAGAGAAAAGGGTGATGCTCGCCTCATCCCCTTCCTCCAGCACCAATGGCAGCCTACAGATCCCCGGGGAGGCAGGACAGGTTGGGGGGCAGGGTTCTCTGCTTTGGGCATTTACAGACACGGAAATAGTAATAGCAACTGTGGTAAGGTGGAAAGTGTTTGACTCGGAATCCAAAGGACCTGGGTTTGAATCCTGCCTCAGATGCCTCCTGGCTATGTGACCTCAACCACTTGGTCAAAATGAGGGAATTTGATGCCATTTAACGAACCCGGAGGGCACTGGCCTTGCAGTCAGGAGGCGCCCGGGGTGGACCCCATGGCGCGCAGTCGGAGGGTGGGCCCTGGAGAACAGCCAGGTTCTACACGAGGCCACCAGGTGAGTGGTGAGGCCGTGGGCAGAAACGGGGAGCCAAGGGGGAGGGGCAGCGGGGAAGGGAAAGGCCTGGGCTTGGTCGTGGACCTGGCAGGTGCAGGTATCCTGCAGGCCCGGCCATTGTGAGGGACATTTAAGGGACTGAAGAGAACAGGACCTTGACGGACACTGAGGCCGAACAAAGAAACATTTATTAAGCGCCTACTGCATGCCAGGCGCTGGGGATACAGTTAATAACACGGACAACAGTCCCTGTCCTCAAAGAGCTTATGATCTAACAGGAGGAGGACGCCCACACCCAGGAAGAGGCAGGAAGAGGTCGGGGTAGCCGCCAACCTCCTCGTTTTGCAGTGGAGGAAACTGAGGCCCAGGGACCTTAGATGACTGCCCCAGGCCTGAGGCAGGATTTGAACCCAGTCTCCCTGATTCCTCTCCACTATCCTGGGCTTCCCCTTCACTGAGAGGGCTCCAAGCTAGGGGAGGGGAGAAGATCTGAGGGGAAGCGGGACGCTCAGCAGGGCTGACGCTGACGTTCTGAAGCCGAGGGGTGCAGGCCTGGGGATTCGACCAGGGGGAGGCCGTTGGAGAGCAGATTCAGAAGCCCCAGGGAGGGACCAGGGCCCCTGGCCTTCTGCCCCTCCGGCCTCCTCCCCAGAGAAGGGGAGGAGACAATGGGCCTGCACTTGGACCGAAGGTGCTTAGAAGAAAAGATTCGATCCAACTTACGCTGAATGCTCGAGGCAGTGGGTAGAGCACTGGGTTCCTGCTCAGGAAGACCTGAGTTCAGATCCTGCCTTAGATACTTAGCAGCTGTGTGATCCTGGGCAAGTCACTTCATTTCTGTCTGCCTCAGTTTCCTCATCTTGAAAACAGGGCTCATAATAGCATCTGCCTTCTGGGGTTGTTGTGAGGACCAGAGGAGATCTTGTTTGTAAAGTGCTCTGCACGCGTCAAGTGCCATAAATGATTGTGATGGGGCGCAAAGCCGTGCTGGGATCATGGAATGGCCAACAATGCAGGGGCCTTCCCTCCAGAAGCTTCCAGTCTGGGGGCAGGGAAGGGTGCTCACACGTGTCTGAGGGAGAGATGAGGATGCTGAGATAGAGGGAGGGGGTGACCAGGGGCAGGGGGCTCGGGGGGTGTCTCAGGAGGGTCTCTCAGGAAGGTCTCTCAGGGTCTCTCAGGAAGGTCTCTCAGGAGGGTCTCAGGAAGGTCTCTCAGGGTCTCTCAGGAGGGTCTCTGAGGAAGGTCTCTCAGGGTCTCTCAGGAAGGTCTCTCAGGGTCTCTCAGGAGGGTCTCTCCAGAAGGTCTCTCAGGAGGGTCTCTCAGGGTGTCTCAGGAAGGTCTCTCAGGG